CGAGCCTTGGACTGAGTATGAAAGAGCTGAGATAAGACTGTCCAAACCTGAGCAGAGGTAGAACATCGAGTGAGATGACCAAGCATGGATTCAGAGATTGAAGCAAGCATCCAGCTGAGGAGGAGTTGATCGGTACGCATCCAGAGCGTATACGCCGGATTTAAGACCGGAGCTGAGGAATCATCGCCGAGCGACAGGAACTGCGCCGGAGCAGAAGAGGTGCTGAGAAGAAAATCCTCGAATCCATGAGCGCGAACAGTGGAGAGAATTTGAGCCTTCCAGTATGAGAAGTTCGATCGATCAAGCCGCAGAGGCAACGGATTGAGATGAGGCAAGGGAGTGTACGCCGGCAATTCGACCATGGTTGCGGCGGAGAAGAGAGAGAAAAAAAATCAAAAAGGGGAAAAATTGGCTCTTGATACCATGATGAAATATGGTTTCACATTGAGCAATAATGATGATGAGCTGTGGGTTTTATACAACCACTACACACGCACAGCACATGCACATTACACACTGCCACTGCCTAACTAACTAGCTTACTTACTAAGCTAATTACAAACACGTACAGCACATGCACTTACAAGCTTGTTACAAAATAATGCCACTGTATGTGATATACTGCAATAGGACCGAAACCGAAACCGATTATTTGGTTCGGTTTTCAGTTCACATTTTTCTAAAATTTCAGTTTTCGGTTCGGTTTGGATAATTGTGATCGGTTAACCGAACCGAACCGAAAACCGATTTATTTAATATATATACATGTTTTTTATTTATACATATAAGTTATAAAAACATTAATTTGCTTCAATGATTGATTATTTTCAAGCTTCATTGACGCATAAAATTGCTCAAGCATTAATTTGCACTCAAAATTGCTTCATCATAGTCCAAGTCACGGTTCAGGTCCGAAATCTTCCTTTGAGCATAATTTAGAATTTATTGAGAATATTGAATAAGGTAATAAAAAAATTATTATTATTTTTGTAGGGATAAAACATCAATTTTTTTTTCGGTTAAAAATTCAAAATTTAACAATAGTATTAATTATTTATTGCGATTAACCGAAAACCGAACCGAACCGACCGTTGGTTTTCGGTTAAAAACCGAACCGAACCGTAAATTTCGGTTCGGTTTTCGGTTATGATAGTTGGCAAACAACCGAAAATTCAGTCGGTTCGGTTCGGTTTTAACCGAATGAGCAGCCCTATCTCACGGTCACAATATTCGATACTAGACATGGAAACGGTCGGCCCGGTCCGGCCCGGCCCATATAAGCTCAGTTATGAACTGGCCCGGAATTTCTTAAGGGCCGGTTAAGGGCCGTCTTTTATCCATTTTGACCCGTCGGGCCGAGCCGGTTCCGGTTTTTCCGATGGGTCATAATTGTTTTTTTTTTTTAACTTTTTATTAACCCGGCTATTCAACGAACCGCCGGGCCGAGCCGGTTACGGGCCCAACAATTGAGGCCTGCCGACTGCGGACCCGACACCTGGCCACCTCTAGTCGATACATCATACATCAACGTGATTTTTATGGAATTTTAAAACAGTAATGTGACTTTGTAAATATTTCAAAAGTAGTCTCGTTCGAATTCAATTAATTAATAAGGTCTCGTTTACTTTAGTTGATAGGATAGGATAATTAAAATTATCCAAGATTAACTCGCGTTTACTTCGCAAGATCAGGATAGAATATATCTTATGTGGCGTACATGTGGCATGTGGACCCCACAGATTATCATTTTTTTTTACTGATAATTGGGCATGTTTCTTTTTTGGCGTTTTTGGCCAAACCGCTATTTTAGCGGATTTGACCAAGCTAAAAACACCAAAATAATGTTAACTGGATGTTTGGTTGCATAGATTTTTTCTTTCAGCTTTTTCTATGAAACAGCCAAAATGGAAACGCTATGAAAAGGAGCGTTTTCCAATAGCGTTTGTATTAATAAAATATTTATTGGCCTAATTAACGAGAACAAGTGAGCATTTTCTATTTCTTGAGTTATTTTACTTCAAAACTAATCTCATTAATTAATTTGTATTTGTTTTTCAAACATCAATTTAATATTTAATAGTAATTCATATTTGCTACTTTTAATATTTTAATTTTTTATTTTTTCCTTACTTTTTAATAGATACGTCCCTTAATTAAAATTACTTAATCATATCATTTTTTTTTTTTGCTAAATATAATTATAAGTATAATTGATGTATAATACTTTAGAATTATTTATATAAATCATTTTATCAAACTAAAGTGTCAAATATATTTTTCAAAATCAATCCGCTAATTTTACCAAACAATAATTTACGAAACCGCTAAAATTAACCGCTGGTCAAAACAGCTAACACAATCCGTTGGTCAAAACAGCTTTCACAATCCGCTAACAGCTAACAGCTAACCGCTGACTACCAAACAAGGCCATTATGTCCCCGCCACCTCTTAGGATTGTGTTATCCCAAGCCCACTTTGACCATTTTACCCTCATTTTTGCCTGCAAAAAGACAAGAAATATGAATTTTGATAAACCTATATTATAATTTCTCATTAATTTCTAACATTTATGTACTCCCCTTTGTTTTTCTTGTGTGTATTCACCTCCAAGCATCTCACGAATATTGAATGTGTTTAACTTTGGAAAGAAAG